GATTGTGCCCCCTGTTCCTGCTATGGAGATTTCTTTGGCCCCTGCTTCCCTTTCAGTTGCCGCTCTTGCTGAGGTGCACTCCCCCTCTTTCTACTCCCCCTCTTCCTGCTGCTGTCCTTGACTGCTCCTCTCCGTTGTCTCCTCCTCTTCCTCCTCCTCCTCCTCCGGACCCCGCCCGCCCACCTCTGGTCTGCTCTCCCGCTTCCTTCCCTCCGTCTTTGCTCAGTTTACCCATGCCCCCTAACCCTGACTTTGCTGACCCTGATCCTGACCTTGATATTCTTTAACGTGCTCTGTTGCTCTTTCGCCTTTGTTTCTTCCTTGTTCTCTGTTGTTGTCCTTTCCCTTCTCGTCGATGTCTATTCTTCAATGGAACGTTCGAGGTTATTATGCCAATTTCCTCGAACTCCAACTTCTGATTTTGCGGTTTTCGCCCCTTTGTGTCTGTCTCCAGGAGCCGATGCTTGGTACTCGTCCTGGTCGTTTTCGTGGCTATTCCTTTCTCTCCTCCCCCCCCCCCCCCAGCCGTTGCTGGGGCTCCTAATTCTTCTGCTCTATTGATTTGTGCTGATGTTCCCTGTGTTCCTTTACTCTTTCCTTTGCCTCTCTATTGTTCTGCTGCTCGTATCTTTGTGGGGAAATGGTACTCAGTTTGTTCCATTTATCTCCCCCGAGTGTCCCGCTTTCTCTTCCTGATCTGAAACACCTCATGGACTCCTTGCCGGAGCCTATGCTCCTGCTGGGTGACTTCAATTGTCGTCATTCTCTTTGGGGTGACGTTCTGACGAATACCCAGGGTCGCCTTCTTGAGCCGTTTCTCCTCTCTTTTTCCCTGTCTCTTCTGAATTCTAGTGAGTCCACTCATTTGGACTCTCGGACTCGCACCCTTTCTTGTCTTGATCTTTCTCTCTGCTCTTCTTCTCTTTACTTAGATTTCACGTGGCAGGTTCTTGATGACCTCCATGGCAGTGATCATTTCCCTATCCTTGTTTCCTTTTTCTCGTTTCGCCCTTCCCTCTCCTTCCCTAGGTGGCAGTTTGCTAAGGCGGACTGGAACCTATTTACCCTCAGTGCTGCTCTCTCTGATCTCTCCCTTCTGCCTCTCCCTCGTGGTCTCCTCCTTTTTCATGACACTGTCTTCAACGCTGCCCTCTGCTCTATTCCTCGCTCTTCCTCTCGGGGTCCGCGGAAGTGGACCTGGTGGAATCCCTGGTGGAATGCTGATTGTGCTCGGGCTGTCCGCTGTAAGCGTGCAGCCTGGAAGAGGCACCGCCGTCGGCAGACGGCCGATTCTTCTCTTTTCTTTCGGAAAGCGAGTGCGGTGGCCCGTAGGGCCATCCGTACGGCTAAACGTGAATGTTGGGCATCTTATGTCTCGACAATTACGTCCGAAACTCCTCTGCCCCAGATCTGGAAGTGTATCCGCAAGATAGCGGGTAAGTTCGTTCCCGATGTTTCACTGGTCCTTCACCTCCATGATACTCTTGTGGCGGACCCGTTGCAGTTCGCTTCCGAACTGGGTTCCCACTTTTCTTCTGTTAGCTCTGGTCTTCATCTTCCCCAATCTTTCCTTCTTCGTAAACCTGTCCTTGAGTCTCATCCTTTAGATTTCTGCACTCGTCTTCAGCTTCCCTATAATGATCCCTTCACTCTCTCTGAACTTCGTTCTGCCCTGGCCCTGTGCGGTTCTACGGCGTCGGACTCCGATGGTATTCATTATGAGATGCTTCGCCATCTCCCTCTGTACACGTCTCAGTATTTACTGAGTCTGTATAATCGGATCTGGGAGTCGTCGTCAGTCCCTGAGGACTGGCTCGATGCCGTTGTCCTCCCTGTTCGCAAACCGGGGTCTCTGGGTACTTCCCCTAAGGACTTTCGCCCTATTGCCCTCACAAGTTGTGTCTGCAAACTCTTTGAACGTATGGGTAACGTTCGTCTGATGTGGTTCCTGGAACACCATCACCTCCTCTCCCCTTCTCAATTTGCTTTCCGCAAGTGCCGCAGCACGACAGATGTCCTGGTGAACTTGGAGGTCTATATTCGTACTGCTTTTGCTGCGAAGACCTCCGTTGTTGCCGTCCTTTTTGACCTGGAAAAGGCTTACGACACCACTTGGCGATATCATATTCTATCTCAACTTCATTCTTTTGGCCTTCGTGGTCATCTCCCTCTCTTTCTCCGCAGCTTCCTCTCTCGTCGTTCCTTTCGGGTGCGCCTTGGTACCGCTCTCTCTGCCTCTTTTCAGCAATACGAAGGTGTGCCCCAGTGTAGTGTTGTGAGCACTACTCTTTTTCTGGTTGCCCTCAATTGTCTTCTTTCCTCTCTTCCTTCAGGTGTCTTCTCCGCTCTCTATGTCGATGATCTTACCCTTTGCTGTCAGGGTGATGATTCACCTCTCCTTCAGCGCCGGCTTCAACTTGCAATTGATGCCGTGTCGTCTTGGGCCACCGATCATGGCTTCAAGTTCTCTACTTCTAAGACTTGTGCCATGACTTTTACGCGGAAACGGGTCGTTCTTCGTCCCTCTTTGTCACTTTATGGTCATTCCCTTGAGTACAAAGATTCCGCGAAGCTTTTGGGGTTATTCCTTGACACTCGTTTGTCTTGGTCTCCCCATATCTCTTACCTCTGTGTTGAGTGCTCTAAGGCCCTTACCCTCCTTCGGGTCTTGTCCCATACTTCTTGGGGAGCGGATAGGCGCACCCTCCTTGCTTTACATTCCTCTCTCGTCCTGTCTAAGCTCGATTATGGTTGCCCTGCTTACTCGTCTGCTTCTCCTACTCTTCGCCGTCTTGATGCTTTGCACCATACTGGGTTGCGCCTCAGTTCTGTGCCTTTCGTTCGACTCCCGTCCTTAGCTTGTATGTTGACACTGGCTTCCTGTCTCTCCAGGACCGCCGTGATAGCTACTGTCTTCGTTATCTCGCACAGTCCTCACATCATCCTTCCTCTCGCCTCTGTCGTGCTTTAACTTTTACCCCTCCTGCGGTTCCTGTTCCTCTTCACCACCTCCCTCTTTCTGTCCGGTTATCTCGCCTACAGGATTCTCTTTCCGTTCGTATTTCTAATGTTTCTCCTCGTGTTGTTCCTTCTTTGCCCCCGTGGAGATTCCCCCTTCCGCGGTTTTGTACTTCCTTGACCCGTATCACTTATTTATTTATTTATTTATGCATATACAAGAATGTACATTGGGAATGTGAGGATACATAATATGGTAATTACAGTCTTGTAAAGCCACTAGTACGCGCAGCGTTTCGGGCAGGTCCTTAATCTAAGAAAATTTTAAGGAGGTAAATACTTGCAAAATTTATAGACAAAAAAATGATAACAGTTACATGTAATGAAAAAAAGAAGATGAGAGAAAATTGTAGGTACAGTATATTAAAGCACATAGGTAGCTAAGATTGATTGCAATGACAGCTTGAATGGTAGTTGACAAAAATTGGTAGGCACAATACAGCAGAAACAATATAAGATTGATTGCAATGACAGCTTGAATGGTAGTTGACAAAAATTGGTAGTCACAATACAGCATATGGTTAGCACATAAAAGAAGACGGCAATGAACACAATGATAAGGTTGTTTGATACTACATAAAAATTAGGAGATTGGGTAACACTAGGTACAGAGAAAATTTAAAGCTCAGTGTAAGAAACTAAGAAGATGAAATTAGGTACTTTTTGGTTTTGCTTTTAATAAAATAAGGCAAAAGTTTTACAGTTTTTCAATTGTTTTTAATTGCTACACTAAAGCTTTTACCCCTCCTACGGTTCTAAAACGCCTTTTCCTTGAGCACTTTTCTTCTCACTCCCGCTCCGTTTCTGTCATCACCGATGGGTCTAAGTCTGCGGACGGTGTTGGCTACTCTGTTGTTTTTCCTGATCGCACTTATATGTGTTGCTTACCTCCGGAGACTAGCATCTTTACAGCGGAGCTTTATGCTATTCTCTATGCTCTTCGTCTCCTGCTTTCTCGTTGTCAGTCTTCCTTTGTAGTTGTTGTTGACTCTCGTAGTGCCCTCATGGCTCTCGGGTCCTTTAATCCGGTTCATCCAGTAGTTGTCGAGATCCAGCATTGGCTGTTTCTTGTTCACAGTAAATTTAAGTCGGTTGAGTTTTATTGGGTTCCCAGCCATATTGGTGTGTCTTTAAATGAGTGTGCGGATGCTGCCTCCAAGGAAGCTGTCCGCTCTTGTCCCATCTCTCGTAAAGGTATTCCATATTCCGACTTTTACCCGGTTATCCATTCCTCCGTCCTTACCTGTTGGCAGGCTTCTTGGTCGTCTGTTACTGGTAACAAACTATGTACTCTTAAATGTTGTGTTTCCTCGTGGCCGTCCTCCTTCCACCGTAACCGGCGATGGGAAACAGCTCTGGCGAGGTTGCGTATTGGCCATACTTGCTTAACCCATGGTCACTTGATGGAGCGCCGCCCTGCTCCTTATTGTCCTAGTTGCATTGTCCCTCTTACGGTCGTGCATGTCCTTCTTGAATGTCCTGACTTCCAGGACGAGTGTGAGTCTTGCTTTCCGACCGTCCCTCGCAGTCACCTGTCCCTCAGTAGAATTCTTGGTGACTCGGATACTTTTGATATCGTTCGCCTTATGCGTTTTTGTTCTCGTATTGGCATCCTTGGTGATATTTAGCGCCCTCTGATTATTCTACGCATTTGATGGTGCTACATAGCCTTCCCGGTTTGGTGCCTTCTTTTCATAATTACTTACTTACTATATTGTCTCCCCAGGATGTGGAAAACTATAATGAATGATGAATAATAATGGACATAAAGAGCTTGTGTGGGGATGATGTCATTATAGAGAGTGAGAGCTGATAAAGACGCCAGGTGATGGTTCAGGAAAGGTGGGAGTCTCTCGAGTCTTCAGGTTATGCCAGACGGACAGTGGATTCAACAGGTGGGGGCGGACGGTTGCTGGAGCCCACAGGTGGGCGCGAACGGACGCTTGAACCAACAGGTAGAGTCACAAGACCCTCCCTGCCAGTTAGTTTCCGGTGCGTTCATAAGGGAGAGGGACGGGCACAGGTATGCTGTCGCCGTGGGGCTGGTAGCCGCCGTGGTCAGCCACGAAGGTAATCTCCACAGGTTCACCATACGGGGACGTGTACCTGGGAGAGTGAACAAACTCTGAACAACGTCTCAAGTCAACCATAACCTCTGCAACAGCATATATTTATACTTAACAAAACACGCTGACTATATTTTTATCCTCAACTTTACGAAGCAGAGAAAATGTATTATCCTGCTATAATTATATGGCTTGTCTTTGGGAGTTAATACAGCATATGATAAATAAAATGTTATTATATTTTTGTATAGGCCTCAAGTAGACACCTTTAAGGGTTTTTGCCATTAGTGTGACCAGTAATATAAGCACCACTAGCCAGCAGATACCTTACCTTACCCTTCCCCAGGCAAACTGTGACCATAATATACACCCCCCAGGAAGCAGTGACCATGATATACCCACCCCAGCTGGCAGTGACCGTGATATACCCACCCCAGGAAGCAGTGACCGTAATATACCAACCCCCAGCCAGCAGTGACTGTAATATACCCACCCCTAGTAAGTAGTGACCGTGATATACCCACCCAAGCCAGCAGTGACCATAATATACCCACCTCTAGCCATCAGTATCCTTAATATACCCACCTTTTATCAGCAGTGACCATAATATATATCTGCCCCTAGTAATCAGTGATCGTAATATACCCACCCCCAACTAGCAGTGACCGTAATATACCCACTGCCAGCCGACAATGACCATAATATATTCACCTCCAGCCAGCAGTAACTGTAATATACCCACCCTCAGCCAGCAGTGACCGTTATATACTCATCCTCAGCAAGCAGTGACCGTGATATACCCACCCTCACCCAGCAGAGACCGTTATATACTCACCTCTTGCCAGCAGTGACCGTTATATACTCACCCCCAGCCAGCAGTGACCGTTATATACTCACATCTAGCCAGCAGTGACCATAATATACCCACCTCCAGCCAGCAGTGACCGTGATATACCTACCCCCAGCCAACAGTGACCGTAATATACCCACCTCCAGCCAGCAGTGACCGTGATATACCCACCCGCAGTGACCATAATATACCCACCCCTAGCCAGCAGTGACTGTAATATACCCACCACCAGGTAGCAGTGCCGTTATATACCCACCTCCAGCCGCCCTGGGACACCTGGCCATCGTTCTGGGTGCCCACCTCCTTCCTGCTGGTGCTGTTGCCGGACTCGTATTGGTAGGCATACTCTCCGTAGGCGTTCTGTTTCCAGTCGTCGTTGAGGACTGGAATTAGACTCCTTAGAATTATTAAATTAATTTTATATTAGTAGTTAGTAAATGCCACATTTGTGCATCAGTTCATACAGGACGGATGTCCCGTACTAGAGTTGCAGATGTTGGAAGTCTTTAGGTGATTTCATTTCCCTGCTAACTCATGTGAGGCTAAATTTCTAGCCTAATTACATTTTTATTCAACCCAGAGAACTGAATGTGAACAATTATTACAGTGAAGTATAATTCTGGGGCTGCAGTGGGATCAGTGGCATTAGTCACAGTAACTTGTAGCTTGTTCTGGTCACTGATTACCCACTGAGGCCCATGGAATACATCTCTGCTAAATAATAAACGTATCAACATCAGTCGTCAGATTTATGTAGTCAGTCATGCTCCCTTGTGCTTATTTTCTGGAGTTATTTTGGCTGATAAATTGAATTTGAATTTAGTAAGTTAATTTAGAGGCTTCAAATGTACTCATACATTAAAGTCAAGTATAGCTCTGAAACTGCAGTGTGTTCAGTGACATTGGTCGCTGTGACTTGTAGCTTGTTCAGGTTACTGTTCACTGATTGGGCAATGAAGCCTCACGGACACATCTTCAACTTTAAATGATGATATCAAGATCAACCTCTGTTGTTGTAGTCAGCTATAATCTCCTTAGTATATTTATACTTGAGTTGTATATCAGATGTCATATTAAAATTTATATTTGAGTTGTTTGTCAGCAAGCATAGGCCTCCTCAAGCTTTATACTGGGCCTGAGGAGGCCCAGTATAAAATTCTGTATTTTTATATTAAAAATATAAAGTTGATTTATTGACAGTTCGAGGCGGGCCGAAAGAGCCAGAGCTCAACCCTCGCAAGTACACCTAGGCGAATACATTCCTTTATTCCTAAATTCTTATGTCAGCAATATTTGCACTAATTGTGTGGTGGTCACACTTGACCATTTACAGTCACTGAAAAGCTGTGTGACCCCGGAGTGACTCGAACACCCAGCCTTCTGATCTGGAGTCAGACGCGCTACCATTGCGCCACGAGGCCGTGAAGATGGAGGTTCAGTTTAGTGAGTCCCTGGACTCTGTTGGAGCCTCCCGGAGTCTGTCCCAATCTCCTGCAGTCTGTCCCAGCCTCCCGCAGTCTGTCCCAGCCTCCTGGTATCTGTCCTAGTCTCCCGCAGTCTGTCCCAGCCTCCCGGAGTCTGTCCCAGCCTCCCGAAGTCTGTCCCAGCCTCCCGGAGTCTGTCTCAGCCTCCTGCAGTTTGTCCCAGCCTCGCAGAGTCTGTCTCAGCCTCCCAAAGTCTGTCCCAGCCTCCCAGAGTCTGTCCCAGCCTCCTGCAGTCTGTCCCAGCCTCCTGCAGTCTGTCCCAGTCTCCCGAAGTCTGTCCCAGCCTCCCGGAGTCTGTCCCAGCCTCCCGCAGTCTGTCCCAGCCTCCCGCAGTTTGTCCCAGTCTCCCGGAGTCTGTCCCAGCCTCCCGGAGTATGTCCCAGCCTCCCACAGTCTGTCCCAGCCTCCCGCAGTCTGTCCCAGCCTCCCGGAGTCTGTCCCAGCCTCCTGGATGACTGCTGGAGTGTGGTAGTGCAGGTGTGGATGACTGCTGGAGTGTAGTGGTGCTGCTGTGGATGACTGCTGGAGTGTGGTGGTGCTGCTGTGGATGACTGCTGGATTGTGATGGTGCTGCTGTGGATGACTGCTGGAGTGTAGTGGTGCTGCTGTGGATGACTGCTGGATTGTGATGGTGCTGCTGTGGATGACTGCTGGAGTGTAGTGGTGCTGCTGTGGATGACTGCTGGAGTGTGGTGGTGCTGTGGATGACTGCTGGAGTGTAGTGGTGCTGCTGTGGATGACTGCTGGAGTGTGGTGGTGCTGTGGATGACTTCACATTTGGCACTTCACATCAAGGCCCTTCACATATGTTTATTATGACAGCAGCGACACCAGTTACTGGCTCAACACAGTAAGGGTCATACGAAAGAAATTCAAAATAATCTAATTCTTCTTGCCTAAGAAGCCAACTTAAATTCTACAGCTGAAGGAGATTCTCATATATTTAAACCTTATTATTTATACCTTGCTCAGGAGAAAACTTTAGTAGTAATAATTTATTGACATGAAAATGAATGAGGAATTATTTTGTCATTTTCAGATGAACGTAAGTTCACAGTGTTCTGCCCTGAAGGGGCTGGGGATTTTGGGACTTAAATATACAAAAGAGAGTTCTGGTTATTGCACCAGACCGTTATTTACGTACAGATGGACAACATCCCTAACCACTCCCAGACGAAACAAACAAACCACCTCGGCAGCCACACTCCCGCTACCGTCGGTCGACTAGCAATGGACACTGGAGTGCTTGTAATTTACGTAGGAGATCACCCTATACGCCTCTTGATCTTGGAGAGGGGTTAAGCATCACATATTTATGGGTGCGGCTCAATCACTGGCCTCGTTGTCTTATGCACACACCCTACTCGAGCCGCCGTGACTCCTCACTCTCTCCTTGTCTGGAATGATCTTCTAAATCCCTCTTTCACCTCACCAGGACAAGAGCAAAAGCCAGCTAACATATACATTTAATATATAAAGAAAACATCCATAATACATGACATATAAAATAGAACATTATCATACAACACTCTAACCTGCCACCAGCCGGTAGCATTCCTGGCTTCACCAAGTGTCCATATCAAGTGGCTGCTCAACTCTTGGCTTACCACTTGCTACTCCCTCACTAAACGGGGCTGAAATCCTGTCACAACAATACTGTATTCTCAGCCCTAAAAGTGTATGAAACTCAGCTTGGGGCTGAAACATCAGAAACATGTACATAAGTATCCCCCAACAAAAGAAGAAATCAATCTCTCACCTTACACTGCGTCTTACATGCCAATAAGCACTCAAGCACTCCCCTTATACAATTATGTGTGTCACCATGAACCTCTGTTCTGCTCCTTGAGGCTCACCACCAATACATATCTCTAGATCCTCCAAAATATCAGGAAAGGCACTTCCGCAGTTCTCCCAATCTGCTGCACAACGAAGTCCTAATCGGACATAACTTGAAGTTAACTTGAGACGATTTTTGGGCATAGCGTCCCCGCGGCCCGGTCCTCGACCAGGCATCCTTTTTGCTACACATCAGTGATATTTTACTAGTGACTCCACAGAGACACGTGTAGCTCCGCTACACTGCTTGAAATCAACTCCTCACAATGGAGTTCTGCTCTACCACAGAGTTCAGCATACACTTTTACTCCAGCCTCGAAGTTCCTCCATCAACTTCTTCTCTAACCTAGAACTTTCTCTACAAACTCCTTCCCAAACAAACTTGAAATTTTATTGCCATGCCAATAAAAATGTTTTCCTAACAAAACATAATTAAATGTATTCAAAGAAAATAAACTCCTCCATCCGACATCCTTATGCCGGCACTACGGCTCTGCTGATGTGGGTCCTCCCCCATCCTGGGCGAGTCCACCTGGGCACATGTCTTGACGCTTCGCGATGCTGGGGGCTTCCCCCCCTCAGTCGTCCACTGACCTTTGGCCAGGCCGCACGTACCACCACTCCCTCTAGCATGTCCTCCCAACTTTAAGTCCTTACTTTAGCTCGATGTCTTAACAAAATATCTATTTGACATATACATATATTCACCATGATTGCTGGGCAGACGATCAAACACTAGTGGCTAAACTAACAATTGGTTAAACAGTCTTAATCTGTTTAAAATCTCTGACGTGAGGATGCTCAATCACTGAAGATTGAGGGCTGGGGAGCTTCAATCACTGAAGCTCAAACATGGCACTCACATAGGCGCTAGGAAGCTTCAATCATTGAAGCTCAAACATGGCGCTCACATAAGACGCCCACAAAAAAGCTTCAGGACTGCCACATGTTACGGCCCTATTGGGTCGCAACTGGGTTTCTTCTCTGATGTTATTAGAGTTTGGGTATCCGGCCCCAAGTTAGTAGTGGCTTTCAAGGGGTGTGTTCCGTAACGCAAGTAAATTAAAGGGGAAGGGATACAAATTCACTAAATTAAATATATATTCACCACCACCAATAAATAATTATATAAACAGTCACTCGCTGGGGCTATAATTACACTTATGGCTATAACTAAGACTCAGGATGCTCTACGGTGCTCAAGACGAGTAGCCCTGGTTCTCTTCTTGTGGCCTCACGATGAATCCTTCGATACCCTAGGCGAATCTACCCTGGCCACAGGCCAGTCAAATCACAATCCCACTGGGTGCACCGTCGTGGAGGCCTTCAACCACAAAGCCAGCCTGTAGCTGGCAGGTTCCAATCAGCTCTGCTGCGTAGGCCACTCCACGACCGATACTAGGGTTGCGAGCCCTAGGCAGGAGCCTCGTATGATTTCGCTGATCACTATCCTCTCTCAACACCCCAGTGGCAAGTCTTCTCCACCAGTCAGCCCCGGGTACGACAATTCCTGGTTCTGCCACGTCACAGGCAGGCTAACACAACAGTGTTCATCCGGGGGGTGACTCACAGCTTCTGCAGCAAACACGTGGAGATACTATGGCTGCCTTGGGTAGACTGCCCATCGTCCAATCCAGCAGTCCCAGGTCGACTCTGTAATCAGACACGTCATCGGTACTAGGGACACCCTAGGGCACCTCACTTACAGGCTTAGACACAAACGCCCACCTATCCACTCCATAGAAGCGTCACCTCACCAGAGGTCAGCAACGGCTACGTTACGAGCTGTTTAAGACGGGAAACCAGCCCCCTGTGGCCGGTATATCCCGCTCTCGCTAGATGGCGTCGTCCATTTGGAGGGGGGTTTCGGGAGCTGACTCACAGATGGCGTGGACGTCACTGCTCCGTGCTAAGACGCTGAGCTCGGGTTCGTAACACCACACAAGGCTTCCTCCAGTCCACAACTTGAGTTCACATCGTCGCCTGGCAGGCTCCATAACAGAAACGCTGCTTACTTCCTTCCTCTTCAAGGCACAATGAGTAGAGTTTCACCTAGGTGCGACCAACACTCATTTGCAGGTCGCCACTAATTTACCAAAATCACAGAGAAATGGTGTACTCTGTCCCCAAGAGCCTCCCTACACTTGCAGACAAGTAGTCTTCACTCCAGTACTAACACAAGGAACTATATTGCTCCTTATTCCAGGAGAATTAACGAAGTACAACCACCTCTGATGACAGTTGCGACTCAAGTGAGGTCAAGACTTCCTGCTAGCGTCACTTCACGTCCCCAAACTATCGACATCTCATTTGATGTCACTTATTACCAACGCCCATCCTCTGCTAGTATCGTGAGATTACTCACGGACGTTTACTCAATTACTTAATATATACATCTTTCCGATGACCTCTCAATCAGGTCCGGCAGGTAGAATAACTCTCACTAAGGTAGACTCGTTCCACCCAGGCTAAATGGGGGTCATAACAGATATATTATACTTGGATATGTGATAAATAAATGAATAAGGCAATTCACATGTGTTTATTACGACAGCGGCGACACCAGTTATTGGCTCAACACAGTAAGGGTCAAAAGGAAAGAAATTCAAAATAATCTAATTCTTCTTGCCAAAGATGCACACTTAAATTGTATAACTAAAGGAGGTTCACTAACAAATTTATAATTATTATTTAAAGCTTGTACCAGAAAAAACTTTAGTAATAAAAATTTATGGACAGGAAGATCCATGATGGATTATTTTGTCATTTACAAATGAACCTTAAGAAAGTTCAGTCACACATGTTCACAAACAAATTCACACACATAAACAAGGACAAGAACAATAACACTTTCATGAATAGTGGTAAGTTATGAACATGACACAATGTCATACTGATGATAAGGACTGTTATATTGTCTCCCAGGATGTGGAAAACTATAATGAGTGATGAATAATAATGGACATAATGAGCATGTGTGGAGATGATGTAATTATAAAGAGTGAGAGCTGGTAAAGACGCCAGGTGATGGCTCAGGAAAGGTGGGAGTCTCTCGAGTCTTCAGGTCATGCCAGACGGACGGAAGAGTGAACAGGTGGGGGCGGACGGTTGCTGGAGTCAACAGGTGGGGGCGGACGGTTGCTGGAGTCAACAGGTTGAGTGCAGACGGTTGCTGGAGTCAACAGGTGGGCGCGGACGGACGGGTGCTGGAGTCAACAGGTGGGGCGGCCGGATGCTTGAACCAACAGGTAGAGTCACAAGACCCTGCCAGTTAGTTTCCGGTGCGTTCGTAAGGGAGAGGGACGGGCACAGGTATGGTGTCGCCGTGGGGCTGGTAGCCGCCGTGGTCAGCCACGAAGGTAATCTCCACAGGTTCACCATACGGGGACGTGTACCTGGGAGAGTGAACAAGCTCTGAACAACGTCTCAAGCCAACCATAACCTCTACAATAGCATGTATTTATACTGAATTAAACATGCTGACTATATTTTTATCCTCAACTTTACATAGTAGAGAAAATGTATTGTTATCCTTTTATAATTACACGGCTAATTACACCGTCAGTCAGTAGTGTGTGTGTGCATTATGTACAATACTCAGCCAGCAGTAACCGTAATATACCCACCCCCAGCCAGCAGTAACCATAATATACCCACCCCCAGCCAGCAATAACAGTAATATTCCCACCCCTTGCCAGCGGTGATCATATTTTACCCACCCCCACCCAACAGTGACTGTAATATACCCACCCCAGCCAGCAGTGACTGTAATATAACTCCCCCCAGCCATTAGGGACCATTATATACCCCCCCAGTGAGCAGAGACTGTAATTTACCCAGCCCCAGCCAACAGTGACTGAATATAGCCGGTCGGCCTGAGCGGACAGCACGCTGGACTTGTGATTCTGTGGTCCTGGGTTCGATCCCAGGCGCCGGCGTGAAACAATGGGCATAGTTTCTTTCACCCTATGCCCCTGTTATCTAGCAGTAAAATAGGTACCTGGGTGTTAGTCAGCTGTCACGGGCTGCTTTCTGGGGGTGGAGGCCTGGTCGATGACCTGGCCGCGGGGACACTAAAAAGCCCCGAAATCATCTCAAGATAACCCACCTCCAGCAAGCAGAGAGCGTAATATAAACCCCCCACCGCAGTGAGCAGAGACCGTAATTTACCCACCTCCGGCCAGCAGTGACTGTGATATACCCACCTGCAGGTAGCAGTGACTGTGATATATCCACCCCCAGCTAGCAGTGACCGTAATATACCCACCTCCAGCCAACAGTGACTGTAATATACCCACCCCCAGGTAGCAGTGACCGCGATATACCCACCTCCAGCCGCCCTGGGACACCTGGCCGTCGTTCTGGGTGCCCGCCTCCTTCCTGCTGGTGCCGTCGCCGGACTCGTACTGGAAGGCGGACTCTCCGTAGGCGTTCTGCTTCCGGTCGTCCTTGAGTATGGGGACAACAGGCTTGGGGACGTACCCAGTACTGGACGTCGCCGCCACAACGGCCAGGACCACCAACACCTGACGGAGAGAGTCACAGCATCAGCCATGTTGTCACTCACCATAACATCAAATGTCTTAGATATTGATGGACCCATCAAGGGAACGAAATGATTTAAATTCTGTGTATAGTCAAAGGATGTGAGAATACATAGCATAGTATTTACAATCTTGTAAAGCCACTAGTACGCGCAGTGTTTCGGGCAGGTCCTTAATCTAACAGAAAATTTTAAGTAGGTAAATTCTAGCAGAATTAATAAAATGATAACAAATACATTGCAGTGATCAACAAGGCAGCGACTTGTTGCAGGAGGCCTAGCTAGAGACCAAACTGCGGAAGACATTGGTCCCCAAAATCATCAGATGGTATATATATCAGGAAACTTTGAAACATATACCAAGTTTTCAGTGGATTTTTATCCAAAGTTAATGTCACTATTATATTAATTGATGGTTCCCATGAATAACAGGAGTGATGTCCCAACGAAGGTTTTTGGCAAAACCCAAAAATCGTCTCTGGGGCGTCATTCCTACTACTCCCATCTTGCAGCAGGAAAATATAAGCACAATACTTTTCTCTCTCTGACTGACGAAGATGTTTTGCTAACATGAGCAAACTCTTGGTGACATGTTGTAGAGATGTTAGTACCCATGGTAAAGAAACATCATGGTGCACAATAAAATCACATTAACCTGATGTATCAATAAAAAAATCCGTAGCAGTTTCGTGGAGGATTCGAACCCTTTCACTTGAACACCTAAGTTAGCGCCCTAGATCACTATGTCTTGACACATATAGTGATCTAGGGTGCCAGCTTGGGAGTACCAAGAGCGGGTTTGATTACTCCTCCGTGTTCCTATTGATTTTCACTTACATTGAGGTGTTTATTATAATGAAGGCAACACTTTATTATGTCCTCCTTCTAGGCTTACTGTGGGTAAGCTTCGGAAATATTTGCTATCATTCCTTACTAGAATGTTTGTGGCAGTTGATCGCAGAGCAGAATGCAGCGTTATATATTCTGTGACAAAAACAAAACCTTTTGTATCATGCCTTACAATATATTGATTAGAATAGTAGTAAATAATATTGAGTGGAGGGGGCTGCTAAACTCAGTTGGGCTAGGAAATAGTTATTTATATGGAAACAAGTTTAGCATAGTCAGTGTGAAGTGCGAGAGGAGTGGCCCAGAGCTAGTCCTGGGAACTTTGTTGTTTATTGTGTTCATAAAAGTGTTAGACATTGGACTGATATGAAACACTTAAAAATTTGTAGATAATATCAAAATACGGCATGAGATTAATACTGAAGGTTCAAAATCACTTTTTAAAGTGAACAAAATGGTTGACAAATGCAGTTTTATCTTGACAATTTGTTGGATTGTGAACTTTGGAAATGATAATAGAGCGACCAAATAACTTGAAAATCTAGACATTCTCAAATCTGAATGGAAACAATTACTGGGAATCATAATTTTTGTGAACCTTAAATAAACGTCAATATAAGGATAAATATGATACTTAAAAAACATCAGAAGCAATTAAGACATCTTATGTTTGTTTTAGCTTTACCTTGTCTGTGTTTGCCCTCATCTTCGTAATCCAGTTCACTTTTGGACACTACTGTACAATCTATACTCTAAGAGAGAACACCTGTCTGTTTCTCCAACGTTTTTGGGATAGATGCTTAGGGCTAGCTTCACTCAAATTTGTAGGGGAAATGTTGTGGGGCACAGGACGGACATAGGCTGGTCAGGGTAGGCCTAAGTTCCTGTCAGAAATATATAGCATGTAACCCCACTCTGACAGCTGAGTGGACAGCGCTCGGGATTCATAGTCCTGAGGGTCCAGGTTCGATCCTCAGTGGAGGCGGAAACAAATGGACAAAGTTTCTTTCACTCTGATGAATCTTTTCAATTCATAGTAAATAGGTACCTAGGAGTTAGACAGCTGCTCCAGGCTATTTCCTTGGAAAGTGTAACAAAAAGGAGGCCTGGTCAAGGACCGGGCCACGGTTATGATATGCCCCAATATCATCTCAAGATAACTCCCACCAAGAGATTTTAATGAAATTAAAAACGGGATGTGTAGGCAAGGGGGTCAAGGGAGAGATGAGAGAAGAGGGGTGGGAGAATAGAGACTATCCCAGGCGCTGCTGGGTACCCTCCTGGTATGCAGTAAAAGAGAGATTGTCTGTCTGTATGTCCAAAGTTATATTCAAGTTGTTTGGGGCTAGCCTCACCCAAATTTGCAAGGTGGAATGGTCTGGGGTAAGGGACAGACATAGGCTGGTCGGGGTCACCAGAATTCAAGAGAGTTCAGCTTGCCAGAGTCACACTCTGACTCCCTCTACGATATTTAGTACCACTCAATTTATCAAAATATTTTGAAATAAAAAAAAATATCGAATAGAAATTTTCACCATTACTCAATGATATCGGGAAAATTACCATAAATATTCTCCTATTCACACTTTGGTTGTAATACAATGAAACAGATAATCTTTCCAGAGCCTCAAAAGCTTTCTCCAGCTCCGCCCCTTTCCCAAAGCAAATGTATAACTATCCTATAGTATCAATGTTTCACACTGCTAAGCACCGTAAGTGGTGAGAATCTCGCCTGGCGTTCCGGGAGCGCTTTGTCCTGGGTTCGTAGCCAGGCTGGGGAAGATTTACTGGGCGCAAATCATTAACTGTAGCCTCTGTTTAACTCAACAGTAAAATGTGTACTTGGTTGTAACAACGATTCTTCGCGGGGGTCGTATTCCAGGGACCATAGGATTAAGGACTTGCCCGAAACGCTACGCATACTAGTGGCTGTACAAGAATGTAACAACTCTTGTATATATCAATAAAAAAAGAGATGGAGAGAGAGATAGAATCACAGACAGAGAGGTATAGTGATATACAGGGATAGTCATACAGAGAGACAGATATACAGAGATACTGATGCATAGATAGAGATGGAAAGATATCAGAAAGAGAGAGATACACAGAGAGAGAGATACAGAGGGAGACAGAGACACAAACACAGAGACAGAAAGACAGACAGACAAACAGAGACCCTGGCTATACTGGGTACCCCACCGTCCCCAGTGAACTTATATTCACTTGAACGTGTGCAGAAAATAAAATAAATGACATGAATTAGGAACCTTCGCTATGACGTTAGATTAAGAACTTATAATTGTTAAGAGCTTGGTTGGATATATATAGGAACTGCCTCACATAGGTCAGTAGGCCTTGCTGCGGCTTGCTCTAATGTTATATTTTGATCAGTATATGGTGTTGTCTCAAGACATGTTCCTGGAGTACACGATACTGCAGTCACTACAGAAGACACTGAGACACTCACAATACAGGAGGACACACGACACATGTCGCTGGACGACGTTACCAGAGACACAGCTGTGAGCTGACTGATGATTGTGACAGACCCCCACCTTTATATAGTTCCTCCAACTCCCACCTCATCCCCTTTCCCCCCCCTCTCTCTCTCTGTCTCTTGTCAGCACCACGAACACAACCACCACCTCCTGCCTCCCCCACCACCTCCTGCCACAACCACCACCTCCTGCCACCCCCACCACCTCCTGCCACCACCACCACCTCCTGCCACCCCCATCACCTCCTGCCACCCCCACCACCTCCTGCCACCCCCACCACCTCCTGCCACCCCCACCACCTCCTGCCACCCCCACCACCACCTCCTGCCACCCCCACCACCTCCTGCCACCCCCACCACCTCCTGCCACCCCCACCACCTCCTGCCACCCCCACCACCTCCTGCCACCCCCACCACCTCCTGCCACCCCACCACCTCCTGCCACCCCCACCACCTCCTCCCACCCCCACCACCTCCTCCCACCCCCACCACCTCCTGCCACCCCCACCACCTCCTGCCACCCCCCACCACCTCCTGCCACCCCCACCACCTCCTCCCACCCCACCACCTCCTGCCACCGCTACCGCCTCCTGCCACCACCACCACTTCCTGCCACCCCCACCACCTCCTGCCACCCCCCACCACCACCACCGCCTCCTGCCACCACCACCACCTCCTGCCACCCCCCACCACCTCCTGCCACCCCCCACCACCTCCTGCCACCACCACCACCTCCTGCCACCACCACCACCTCCTGCCACCCCCACCACCTCCTGCCACCCCCCACCACCTCCTGCCACCCCCCCACCACCTCCTGCCACCACCACCACCTCCTGCCACCCCCACCACCTCCTGCCACCCCCCACCACCTCCTGCCACCCCCACCACCTCCTGCCACCACCCACCACCTCCTGCCACCCCCACCACCTCCTGCCACCCCCACCACCTCCTGCCACCCCCCACCACCTCCTGCCACCACCACCATCTCCTGCCACCCCCCACCACCACCTGCCACACTCACCACCTCCAGCCACCCCTACCACCCCACCACTTCCTTCCACCCCCACCACCTCCTGCCACCCCTACGACCCCTACCACGTCCTGCCACCCCACAATCTCATTCCGCCCCCCACCACTTCCTGCCACCACCACCACCTCCTGCCACCCCCACCACCTCCTGCCACCACCACCATCTCCTGCCACCCCCTCACCACCTCCTGCCACCACCACCATCTCCTGCCACCCCCCCCCCCCAACACCTCCTGCCACCACCACCACCTCCTTCCACCCCCCACCACCTCCTGCCACCCCCCACCATCTCCTGCCACCACCAGCTATCCCACCACCTGTAGCCACCACACCACCACTTCTTGCCAACTCCACCACCCCCTCAACCCTTCCACCACCTCAAGCTATCTCAACCACCTCCTGCCACCCCTTACCACCCCGTGTCATCCCCATCACCTCCTGGGGCCTACTCCAGGACGCTGGGACCGGCTCCGTGAGGCTCAGACAGAGTCCAGGAGACTGGGACAGACTCCAAGAGGGTGGGACCGGCTCCGTGAGGCTCAGACAGAGTCCAGGGACTCACTAAAGTGAACCACCACCTTTATGGCCTCGTGGCGCAATGGTAGCGCGTCTGACTCCAGATCAGAAGGCTGGGTGTTCGAGTCACTCCGGGGTCACACAGCTTTTCAGTAACTATGAATGGTCAAGTGTGACCACCACACAATTATTGCAAATATTGCTGACATAAGAACTTAGGAATAAATGAACGTATTTGCCTAGTTGTGCTTGTGGGGGTTGAGCTCTGGCTCTTTCGACCCGACTCTCAACTGTCAATCAATCAACTTGTTGTTTAATATAAAAAATTACAGTATTTTATTCTGAGCCTCTTCAAGCCCAGTATAAAGCCTGAGGAGACTTATACTTGCAGACAAACAATTCAAATAGAAATTTTAATTTGTCAGCTGATTATTCAACTTCAGTAAATATATACTAAGGAGATTACAGCTGACTACAACAACAGAGGTTGGTCTTGATATCATCATTTAAAGCTGAAGATGTGTCCGTGAGGCTTCATTAGCCAGTCAGTGACCACTAACCTGAACAAGCTTCAAGTCACTGTGACTAATGTCACTTATCCCACTGCAGTCCCAGAATTATACTTCACTGTAATAATTGTTCACATTCAGTCCTCTGGGTTAAATAAAATGTAATTAGGCTAGAAATTTAGCCTCACAAGCGTTAGTAGGGAAGTGAAATCACTTAAAGTCTTTCAACATCTGCAACTTTTGTACGGGACATCCATCCTGTACGAACTTATGAACACATGTGCCATTTACTAACTAATAATATAAAATTAATTTAATAATTCTGAGGAGGAGTATCAGTGTTTATCAGATGTAAATATTGGACTTCGACCCTTGTTCGCATGTCCCCTATTAAAGAAATAGAAATAGAAATTAAAATTTTTATTTAAATTGTTTGTCAGCAATAGGCCTCCTCAGGCTTTATACTGGGCCTGAGGAGGCCCAATATAATATTCTGTATTTTTATATTAAAAATAAAAAAGTTGATTGATTGACAGTTGTGAGGCGGGCCGAAAGTGTCAGAGCTCAATCCTCGCAAGCACACCTAGGCGGCCGGCCAGCCGAGTGGACAGCACACTGCACACGTGATCCTGTGGTCCCGGGTTCGATCCCGGGCGCTGGCAAGAAACGATGGGCAGAGTTTCTTTCACCCTATGCCCCTGTTACCTAGCAGTAAATAGGTACCTGGGAGTTAGTCAGCTGTCACGGACTGCTTCTTGGGATGTGTGTGTGTGTGGTGTCGAAAAAAAGTAGTAGTAGTAGAAACAGTTGATTGACAGTTGAGAGGCGGGCCGAAAGAGGAGAGCTCAACCCCCACAAGCACAATTAGGTGAATATATTCCATTATTCCTAAGTTCTTATGTCAGCAATATTTTCAATAATTGTGTGGTGGTCACACTTGACCAATCACAGCTACTGAAAAGCTGTGTGACCCCGGAGTGACTCCAACACCCAGCCTTCTGATCTGGAGTCAGACGCGCTACCATTGCGCCACGAGGCCATGAAGGTGGTGGTTCACTTTAGTGAGTCCCTGGACTCTGTCTGAGCCTATTTTATTTTATTTTATTACCATGTCAATAAAAATGTTTTCTTAAGAAAACATAATTAAATGTATTCTCAGAAAATAAACTCCATCCGACATCCTTATGCCGGCACTACAGCTCCGCCGATGTGGGTCCTCCCCCATCCTGGGCGAGTCCACCTGGGAACATGTCTTAACACGTCGTCGCTCCCGTCGCGATGCGCGCATCACCCCCTCAGTCATCCACTGACCTTTGGCGAGGGCGGACGTACCACCACTCCCTCTAGCATGTCCTACATCTACATATATTCACCATGATTACTGGGGAGACAATCAAACACTAGTGGCTAAACTAACAATTGGTTAAACAGACTTAATCTGTTTAAAATCTCTGACGTGAGGATGCTCAATCACTGAAGATTGAGGGCTGGGGAGCTTCAATCACTGAAGCTCAAACATGGCATTCACATAGGCACTGGGGAGCTTCAATCATTGAAGCTTAAACATGGTGCTCATAGGCCGCCCACAAAAATGCTTCAGGACTGCCACACAAGGCTTTCTCCAGTCCATGACTTGAGTTCACAACGTCGTCTGGCAGGCTCCATAACAGAAACGCCTGCTTACTTCCTTCCTCTTGATGGCACAATGATTAGAGTTTCTCCTAGGTGCGACTAACACTCACTTGTGGGTTGCCTTTAATTTACCAAAATCACAGAGAAATGGTGTACTCTGTCCACAAGAGCCTCCTCACACTTGCAGACAAGTACTCTTCACTCCAGTACTAACACAAGGAACTATATTGCTCCTTATTCCAGGAGAATTAACGAAGTACAACCATCTCTGACAACAGTTGCAACTCAAGTGAGGTCACGACCTCTTACTAGTGTCACTTCACGTCTCCAAAGTATCGACATCTCATTTCATGTCACTTATTACCAGCGCCCATCCTCTGCTAGTATCCTGAGATTACTCACTGACGTTTACTTAATTACTTAACATATACATCTTTCCTCTGACCTCTCAATCAGGTCCAGTAGGAAGAATAACTCTCACTAAGGTAGACTCGTTCCACCCAGGCTAAATGGCAGTCATAACAGATATATAAAACTTGGATATGTGATAAATAAATGAATAAGGCAATTCACATGTGTTTATTACGACAGCGGCGACACCAGTTACTGGCTCAACACAGTAAGCGTCAGCACACTTAAATTATATAATTGAAAGAGGTTCACTAATAAATTTAAAATTATTATTTAAAGCTTGTACAAGAAAAAACTTTAATAATACAAATTTATGGACAGGAAGATCCGTGATGGATTATTTTGTCATTTACAGATGAACTTAAAGAAGGTTCAGAGTCACACATGTTCACAAACAAACACACACACATAAACAAGGACAAGAACAATAACATGCATGAATAGTGGTAAGTTATGAACATGACAAAATGTCATACTGATGATAAGGACTGTTATATTGTCTCCCAGGATGTGGAAAACTATAATGAGTGATGAATAATAATGGACATAATGAGCATGTGTGGAGATGATGTAATTATAAAGAGTGAGATGGTAAAGACGCCAGGTGGCTCAGGAAAGGTGGGAGACTCTCGAGTCTTCAGGTCATGCCAGACGGACAGTGGAGTCAACAGGTGGGGGCGGACGGTTGCTGGAGTCAACAGGCGCGGGCGTACAGTTGCTGGAGTCAACAGGTGGGGCGAACGGACGCTTGAACCAACAGGTAGAGTCACAAGACCCTGCCAGTTAGTTTCCGGTGCGTTCATAAGGGAGAGGGACGGGCACAGGTATGGTGTCGCCGTGGGGCTGGTAGCCGCCGTGGTCAGCCACGAAGGTAATCTCCACAGGTTCACCATACGGGGACGTGTACCTGGGAGAGTGAACAAACTCTGAACAACGTCTCAAGACATCCATAACCTCTGCAACAGCTTATACTTATACTGGATTAAATACGCTGACTATATTTTTATCCTCAACTTTACATAGCAGAGAAAATGTATTGTTTCCTGCTATAATTACACGACTAATTACACCTTCAGTCAGTAGTGTGTGTGTGCATTATATAACATCCTCAGCCAGCAGTAACCATAATATACCCACCCCCAGCCAGCAGTAACAGTAATATTCCCACCCCCTAGCCAGCGGTGATCATAATTTACCCACCCCCACCCAACAGTGACCGTAATATACAAACCCGAGCTAGCAGTGACTGTAATATACCTCCCCCAGCCATTAGTGACCATAATATACCCCCACCCAGTCAGCAGAGACCGTAATTTACCCACCCCCAGCCAACAGTGACTGAATATACTCACCCCAGGTAGCACTGACTGTGATATACCCACCCCCAGCCTACTGTGACTGTAATATACGCACCTCCAGCCGCCCTGGGACACCTGGCCGTCGTTCTGGGTGCCCGCCTCCTTCCTGCTGCTGCCATCTCCGGACTCGTACTGGAAGGCGTACTCTCCGTAGGCGTTCTGCTTCCGGTCGTCCTTGAGGATGGGGACGACAGGCTTGGGGACGTACCCAGTACTGGACGTCGCCGCCACGGCCGCCACAACGGCCAGGACCACCAGCATCTGCCAGAGAGCGTCACAGCATCACCCATGTTGTCACTCACCATAACATCAAATGCCTTATATATTAACGGACTCATCAAGGGAACTAAACGATTGAAATTCTGTGCATACTCAAAAGATACCTGATCAACGAGGCAGCGACTTGTTGTAGGAGCCCTAGCTAGAGACCGGACTGCAGGGGAAATTGGTCCCTGAAATCATCAGTTGGTATATATATCAGGAAACTTTCAAACATATACCAAGTTTTCAGTGAATGTTTATCCAAATTTAATGTCACTAATACATTCCTTGATGGTTCCCATGAATAACAGGAGTGATGTCCCAGCGATGATTTTGGCAAAACCCAAAAATCGTCGCTAGGGCGACATTCCTACTACTCCCATCTTGCAGCAGGAAAATATAAGCACAATACTTTTCTGTCTCCGACTGACGAAGATGTTTTGCTAACATGAAGAAATTCTTGGTGACGTGCTGTAGAGATTTTAGTACCCATGATAAACAAACATCATGGTGCACAATAAAATCACATTAACCTGATGTATCAATGAAAAAATCAGTAGCAGTTTCGTGGAAGATTCGAACCCTTTCACTTGAACACCTAAGTTAGCGCCCTAGATCACTATGCCTTGACCCATATAGTGATCTAGGGTGCCAGCTTGGGACTACCAAGAGTGGGTTTGATTACTCCTCCGTGTTCCTATTGATTTTTCACTAACATTGAGGTGTTTATTGTAATGCAGGCAACACTTTATTATGTCCTCTTTCTAGGTTTACTGTGGGTAAGCTTGGGAAATATTTGCTATCATTCCTTACTAGAATGTTTGTGGCAGTTGATCGCAGAGCAGAATGCAGCGTTATATATTCTGTGACAAAAACAAAACCTTTTGTACCATGCCTTACAATATGCTGATTAGAATAGTAGTAAATAATATTGAGTGGAGGCGGCTGCTAAACTCAGTTGGACTAGGAAATAGTTATTTATATGGAAACAAGTTTAGCATAGTCAGTGTGAAGTGCGAGAGGAGTGCCCCAGAGCTAGTCCTGGGACCTTTATTGTTTATCGTGTTCATAAAAGTGTTAGACATTGGACTGATATGAAACACTAAAAAATTTGTACATAATAACAAAATACGGCATGAGATTAATACTGAAGGTTCAAAATCACTTTTTAAAGTGAACAAAATGGTTGACAAATGCAGTTTTATCTTGACAATTTGTTGGATTGTGAACTTTGGAAATGATAATAGAGCGACCAAATAACTTTTGAAAATCTAGAAATTGTCAAATCTGAATGAGAACAGTTCCTGGGAATTATAATATAATTTTTGTGAACCTTAAATAAACATCAATATCCAAATGTTTAAAGCAAGGATAAATATGATACTTAAAAGACATCGGAAGTAATTAAGACATCTTATATGTGTTTTAGCTGTACCTTGTCTGTGTTTGCCCTCATCTTCGTAATGCAGTTCACTTCTGGACACCACTGAACAATCTATACTCTAAGAGAGAACACCTGTCTGTTTCTCCAAAGTTGCTAGGATAGATGCTTAGGGCTAGCTTCACTCAAATTTGTAGGGGAAATGTTGTGGGGCACAGGACAGACATAGACTGGTCAGGGTAGGACTAAGTTCCTGTCAGAAATATAGCCTGTAACCCCACTCTGACAGCTGAGTGGACAGTGCTCAGGATTCATAGTCCTGAGGGTCCAGGTTCGATCCTCGGTGGAGGCGGAAACAAATAAACAGAGTTTCTTTCCCTCTGATGATTCTTTTCACTTCACAGTAAATAAGTACCTGGCAGTTAGACAGCTGCTCCAGGCTATTGGAAAGTGTAACAAAAAGAAGGCTTGGTCGAGGACCGGGTCGCGGGGATGATATGCCCCGAAATCATCTCAAGATAACTCCCACCAAGAGATTTTAATGAAATTAAAAATGTGATATAAAAAAAATATGAGGTTACTCCCACCGTAACCCCTCCCACTGGGGTTACCGCCCAGTTTCTTAGCAATATTTTCTGAGAGAAGGGAAGGGTGGGATGGGTGTGGGGAGAGCTGGGGGGACGAAGGGAGGACCAAGGTGGCGGAGAAGTGGGGATAAGAGACCCATACAATTTTTCCAGTCCTTTCCGAGTATATTTTCTGAGAAATGGTAGGGAGAGAGGTCGAGGACCAAAGGGATGGGGAAGGATGGGGGGAGGGAGGAAACGGTAAAGGGAAGAGGATGGTGGAGGCAGCAAGAGATGTGTAAGAAGGGGTCAAGGGAGGGAAGAGAGAAGAGGGGTGGCAGGATAGAAACTATCCTAGGCGCTGCTGGGTACCCTCCCTGGTATGCAGTAAAAGAGAGATTGTCTGTCTGAATGTCCAAAGTAATATTCAAGATGTTTGGGGCTAGCTAGTCTCACCCAAATTTGCAAGGTGAAATGGTCTGGGGTAAGGGACAGACATAGGCTGGTCGGGGTCACCAGAATTCAAGAGAGTTCAGCTTGCCAGAGTCACACTGACTCCCTCTACGATATTTAGTACCACTCAATTTATCAAAATATTTTGAAATAAAAAAAAAATATCGAATAGAAATTTTCACCATTACTCAAAGATATCTGGAAAATTACCATAAATATTCTCCTATTCACACTTTGGCTGTAATACAATGAAACAGATAATCTTTCCAGAGCCTCAAATGCTTTCTCCAGCCCCGCCGCTTTCCCAAAGCAAATGTATAATTAGTCTATAGTATCAATATTTCACACTGCTAAGCACAGTAAGTGGTGAGAATCTCGCCTGGCGTTCCGGGCGTTCTTGGTTCGTATCCTGGCTGGGGAGGATTTACTGGGCGCTAATCATTAACTGGAGCCTCTGTTTAACTCAACAGTAAAATGGGTACTTGGTTGTAACAACGATTCTTCGCGGCGGACGTATTCCAGGTACCATAGGATTAAGGACTTGCCCGAAACGCTACGCGGACTAGCGGCTGTACAAGAATGTAACAACTCTTGTATATATCAATAAAAAAAGAGATGGAGAGAGAGATAGAATCACAGACAGAGAGGTATAGTGATATATAGGGATAGTCATACAGAGATACAGATATACAGAGATACTGATGCATAGATAGAGATGGAAAGATATCAGAAAGAGAGAGATACAGAGGGAGACAGAGACACAAACACAGAGACAGAAAGACAGACAGACAGACAGAGACCCGGGCTATACCGGGTACCCCACCGTCCCCTGTGAACTTGTATTCACTTGAACGTGTGCAGAAAAGAAAATAAAAGACATGAATTAGGAACCTTCGCTATGATGAGATATTATGAACTTATAATTGTTAAGAGCTTGGTTGGATATATATAGGAACTGCCTCACATAGGCCAGTAGGCCTTGCTGCGGCTTGCTCTAATGTTATATATTGATCAGTATATGGTGTTGTCTCAAGACATGTTCCTGGAGTACACGATACTGCAGTCACTACAGAAGATACTGAGACACTCACAATACAGGAGGACACACGACACATGGCGCTGGACGACGTTACCGAAGACAGCTGTGAGCTGACTGATGATTGTGACAGACCCCCACCTTTATATAGTTCCTCCAACTCCACCCCCCTCCCCTTCCCCCTCTCTCTCTCTCTCTCACCAACACTACGAACACATCCACCACCACCACCTCCTGCCACCCCCACCACCTCCTGCCACCCCCACCACCACCAGACCACCACCACCACCACCTCCTGCCACCTCCACCACCACCACCTCCTGCCACCTCCACCACCAGACCGTCCAGATGGTTAAGTTAACTGCTTACCATTTTCACAGCTTTCCCTTAATTATTCAGCTGTTACTGAGAAGCTGACGAAGCCGCTCCAGGAAGCTTTCTGTTTACCAGAGTGTCCTGACTCTTGATCACCAGAGTGACCTGACTCTTGATCACCAGTGACCTGACTCTTGATCACCAGAGTGTCCTGACTCTTGATCACCAGTGACCTGACTCTTGATCACCAGAGTGTCCTGACTCTTGATCACCAGAGTGACCTGACTCTTGATTACCAGTGACCTGGCTCTTGATCACCAGAGTGACCTGACTCTTGATTACCAGTGACCTGACTCTTGATCACCAGAGTGACCTGACTCTTGATTACCAGTGACCTGACTCTTGATCACCAGAGTGACCTGACTCTTGATCACCAGTGACCTGACTCTTGATCACCAGAGTGACCTGACTCTTGATCACCAGAGTGACCTGACTCTTGATTACCAGTGACCTGACTCTTGATCACCAGAGTGACCTGACTCTTGATCACCAGTGACCTGACTCTTGATCACCAGAGTGACCTGACTCTTGATCACTAGTGACCTGACTCTTGATCACCAGAGTGACCTGAATCTTGATCACCAGAGTGACCTGAATCTTGATCACCAGTGACCTGACTCTTGATTACCAGTGACCTGACTCTTGATCACCAGAGTGACCTGACTCTTGATTACCAGTGACCTGACTCTTGATCACCAGAGTGACCTGACTCTTGATCACCAGAGTGACCTGACTCTTGATTACCAGTGACCTGACTCTTGATCACCAGAGTGACCTGATTCTTGATCACCAGTGACCTGACTCTTGATTACCAGTGTGACGTGACTCTTGATCACCAGTGACCTGACTCTTGATTACCAGTGACCTGACTCTTGATCACCAGAGTGACCTTGTCGTGACGCTGAACCCCGGTTCATTCCGAACACAGCAATTACACAACACATAACACCTTGCCTCAGCAACCGTTACTACCACCGTGTACTCCTACACACACCAGACCCTTGAGGCGTACCACTAGGTTTGTACTGGAACACAATGAGTGGACATATGGAAGGTATTTAAAGGCCGTCGGGTTTTGTCATTTAATTACAAAGAATAGACTCTGACAAATAATACTATATTAATTAACATACTCTATTAGGTCAATACACTTCCAATACCCATAGACCACTTGACCTCCGCGATCACCACCCACACTCGTAACTTCCGCCTAAGTCCCTAATACGGAATGATTACTACAACGCTCCACACCCGGTTAGTCTTACATTCAATACTCACATACTGCAGACTTAACTTGGTCACTAAGATCACAACAGGCTCTCGCATAGCTGTCTGCTACACTTCGCTGCTGCCACAAACGGGGATCCAAAACGACTTGCTCGTTCAACTTCCACAATCAGACTCACTCCAGCCAACCATGGCCTCAATCATTTCACCACGCCTCTTGAGGAAGGTATAATCCGATTAACCTTATCCCTAGAGCGGTAACCTTGTTCCTAGAAGCCTGACGAAGAATAATTCCTCTTTCCAGGAATTAATCATTTGGCTAAACAGCTTCGGTCTTAATCCATTGACCTTTCTTAGATATGTGATCCATAGTCTGTCTACTTACATGTACTTTCAATCATCATTCGTTAAGTGTTGTAGTAATGATCCTCTAGCTAATAATTCCTACTAACTTGCGGATTACAACACCCTGACTCTTGATCACCAGAGTGACCTGACTCTTGATCACCAGTGACCTGACTCTATCTTGATCACCAGAGTGACCTGACTCTTGATTACCAGTGACCTGACTCTTGATCACCAGAGTGACATGACTCTCGATCACCAGAGTGACCTGACTCTTGATCACCAGTGACCTGACTCTTGATTACTAGTGACCTGACTCTTGATTACCAGAGCGACCTGACTCTTGATCACCAGAGTGACCTGACTCTTGATCACCAGTGACCTGACTCTTGATTACCAGAGTGACCTGACTCTTGATCACCAGTAACCTGATTCTTGATCACCAGTGACCTGACTCTTGATTACCAGAGCGACCTGACTCTTGATCACCAGAGTGACCTGACTCTTGATCACCAGTGACCTGACTCTTGATCACCAGAGTGACCTGACTCTTGATTACCAGTGTGACCTGAGTCTTGATTACCAGAGTGATCTGACTCTTGATCACCAGTGACCTGACTCTTGATCACCAGTGACCTGACTCCTGATCACCAGTGCCCTGACTCTTGATCACCAGTGACCTGACTCTTGATTACCTGACTCTTGATCACCAGAGTGATCTGACTCTTGATCACCAGTGACCTGACTCTTGATCACCAGAGTGATCTGACTCTTGATCACCAGAATGATCTGACTCTTGATCACCAGAGTGATCTGACTCTTGATCACCAGTGACCTGACTCTTGATCACCAGTGACCTGACTCTTGATTACTAATAAATGTGAATTAGAGAAAAAGTGTGTACTCACCTAGTTGTGGCTGCAGGGTTGAGCTTGAGCTCTTAAGGCCCGCCTTTTGACCATTAATTAGTTCAATGGCGTGACTTTTCACTCGTGTTTATCATATATACATTTAAACTTGGATTAGCTTGAACAACTTTCTCATCTGGTCCGTTCCACTTATTTACGAATCTGAGTCTGAGAAAGTTCTTCTTGAGATCCCATCGCTGCCACCATTGTAATATCTATGACCGCTACCCTTGTTGTAATAACTCTTTTCTTACTTCTCTCTACTCTTTCCCTTCATTCAATACCCCAGCTTAACACTGTTACAGTCCAGTATGACCCCTCACTGAACTGCCACGAATATAAGCTGAATATTAAACAAGGAGGACACAACAAGAATAGGGGTTATTAATTTATAACTAATAATTAAAATCATTAAAACACTGCCACCACCTTCCCAAAACATAAATGTATGTGTCATAATTATTATTCCCCAGGAAGGAAGGGACTCAATAATCCTGGAACTCAAAGGGGCAAGGAAATGAATCTTAATTGGATTAATACTGTAATCTTACTGAACTGAAAGGGAGATTCAAGAGCGACTTTAATATTCATAAGATGGAGGAGAATACAGGTACTCTCCAAGTCAACACATCAACCACATATACAAAATGACAAAGTAGAAAAATATATTAAAAGGGGAATTAATTGAATACCACTGGGACCAATGTATTTTTCTTTATTAAATTAAGCACGTAAATTAAAATCAAATTTGAAAGGTCCTAGCTCATCCTAAGAGGCAAATTGGAAAAATTGTGAGGTGCATTTACTGTTGTACCAAAACTCAGACAGACATTACCTTAATCCTATAGCCTCGGCCACGATGTTGAATGGCTGGCCCTACAGGTCAGGAGACCTGTACCCCCAGTAAGCCCCAAGACACATTAATATTTTCTAAAAACGCTTACCAGTGGGACAGGCTCCACCCCCTAGTTCCTAGGCCCAATTTAACTCTGCCTATCCCAAGCCTATGGCCAATGGATTTAAAACACATCTGGGTGATCTAGAATCTAGACCAATGGCATGGACAGGCACTACCCTGTGGGGACCCCGCCTCCACAGGCCTCCATGTCTTCAACCAATAGGAACCAGGCTTGACCATAAGGGTCAATTCCTCTTGACAGAAAACTCAAGTAACTGGGGAAAGCACCAACGACTGTTCTGTGGGAACGGTGGCTGGGCACCCACGTGTAACTTGAGAGCACAAGTTTATTGGCCCTGAGGTACTATTTCCAATTCGTCACTGGAAAGATGTACAGGAGAGAGAGAGGAACAAGTGACTGCAAACTGTTTATGACCACGAGGGTTAGACTGTGACGAATGGGAGGGGTGACCATAGGGAGGGAAGGAGAAGAGGAAGGGGAAGGGGGAAGGAGCTATGGTCTGCATATACCATTACAGTGTGATGTGTGACCTGTGTGACGTGTGTGACCAATGACCTCCGTGACATGTGACTTGTGACCTGTGTGACGTGTGACCTGTGTTACCTGTGTGACGTGTGACATGTCATTTGTGTGATGTGTCATTTGTGTGACCTGACTAACCTGTGACCTTTGTGACGTGTGACGTGGGTAACGTGTGACCTGTGTGACGTGTGACCTTTGTGACGTGGGTAACGTGTGACCTGTGTGACGTGTATGACCTGTGTGACTTGTGACGTGTATTACCTGGGTGATGCGTGACCTGTGTGACGTGTATGACCTGTGTGATGCATGACCTGTGTGACGTGTGACCTATGTGACGTGTGACCTGTGTGACGTGTGACCTGTGTGACGTGTGACCTATGTGACGTGTGACCTGTGACCTGTGTGACATGTGTGACCTGTTTGACCTGTGTGACGTGTGACCTGTGTGACGTTGTTACGGACCCGAGTCCAGCGTCCGAGCATGGAGCAGTGACGACCACGCCATCTGTGGGTCAGCTCCCGAAACCCCCTCCAAATGGACGACGCCATCCAGTGAGGACAGGATATACCGGCCACAGGGGCTGGTTTCCCGTCCTGATCAGCTCATAACATAGCCGCTGCTGACCTCTGGTGAGGTGACGCTTAGACAGCAACGCCATCTATGGAGTGGATAGGTGGGCGTTTGTGTCTAAGCCTGTAAGTGAGGTGCCCTAGGGTGTCCCTAGTACTGATGACGTGTCTGATTACAGAGTCAACCTGGGACTGCTGTAGTGGACGTTGGATCAGTCTACCCAAGGCAGCCGAAGAA